GATCTTCCCTATGACCCAGCCATACCACCCCTGGGCTTCTACCTACTATTCACAATAGCCAAATCATATAATGAGCCCAGATGCTCTATAATGAGTGGATGAGTGGCTCCAAAAATGTGGTACTATACATAATGCAGTTTTACACATCCATTCAAAAGTATACTATCATGCCATTTTAAGGGAAAAGGATGGACTTAGAACAAATGAAAAAGTGAGGTAAGTTAAGCTCAGAGAATCAAATGGCAGGTGTTCTCTCTCCTATTCAGAAGGCAGATTTAATACATGATAAAATACACAGGACTAGGTATTCACACACAGTGAAACAACAGGAGGATATTCTTGGGGGAAGAACAAAAAGGAGTAGTGCTTATGTGCCTCTGATCATATAATATTTATTGAAATGAACTCCAGGAAATGGAAACAAGGGTTTTTTTTTTTCTTTGACATTGTTTTTGTTTTCTTGCCTTCTTGTTTATCTGTCTTTGGGAGGATAAGGAGAAGCACAGAAATGGAGGGACCAAGGGTGAACAAATGCAGCAGTAGTACCCACTAGACACTAGACTGAAAATGAACTGTATAATTTGTGGATGGGGACAGAAAGGAAAAGGAGAGAGAGCAAGAGAAGGGTTGACAGTATCCAAAAAGAAATATACTCATTGTCTGATTTATGTAACTAACCCCTCTGAATATCACCTTTAAAATAACAATAAAAATATTTACCAAAAGACCCATATAACAAAAAAGAAAAATTAAATAGGCACACTGAATTAATATACAGTATATACTATGTGGAAAATGACCTATGCAATTTGTGGGACAGGGGAGGGAACTTGGGGAAAGCAAAGGAGGGGGAGATATTGTCCAATTTTTTTTAATGTACTATTTGACTTATGAAATGGTAACCCCTCTGTTACATATATACAATACCTAATAAGGAGTTGTATATATAAAATAAAATTATATCTTAAGAATTGTAATACCCTAAGATATGGAACCAACCCAGATGCCCCTCAGTAGATGAATGGATCAAGAAAATGTGGCATATATACACAATGGAATTCTATGCCTCCATCAGAAAGAATGACATTGCCCCATTTGTTAGGAAATGGAAAAACTTGGAAAAAATTATATTAAGTAAGCTCAGGCCCAAAGAAACATAGGTCCCATGGTTTCCCTTATTTGCAATATCTAGTATATGTATGAGTCAAGCGGAAAAGGTCAGATAATGTGATGTCAGGAAAATGAACCCTTAGATATGTATTTTAATGTTTTTTTCTTTCATGCATGTGTTTCTAATGCATTTATAAGATTATCTCTTTTGTTGCTTTGTATGTCCCTCCCCCACAGTATAACCCCTGCTTTCACTATATTTGATGTCAGTATAACTTGTGGAGGAGATGGGGAAAAACCAGTTGTTTAAGGATACAGGTGGACCTGTTGCAACAATGAGAAGTACAAGTTGTCATGTCCAAAACGAGCTTTACAACGTCGGTGGGGGGAAGGAGAAGGATTGGGATGGGGGGAGGGGGGAGGCTGGGAAGGGATGGGAAGGTTAACAAAGGAGGAGGCTGCAATGATTGGTAAGAAATGTACGCATTATCCTGCCCATGCAATTGTAACCCCTCTGTACAGTATGTTCACAAATAAAATAAAATAAAATTAAAAAAAAGAATTGTAATACCCATTTTCCTCACATTTCCCCCCAAATTTATCTTGACAAGTCCTACCTCTATTAAGCCTAGTCACAAAAAGAAAAAAAAAAAAACTGGCTCTAATCTTTGTCCCAGATTAGTGGACAATAATATCTCGTTTCAAACCATATAGTTACTAAACAACCCTTCTCTTTCTCTCTAATGGTTCACAAGTATTCTACCTCCCTGGCCCTGAGACTCTTCACACCCAACTCACCGTGCATTCTGCTTTCAAAACCCATGTAATCTATACTTTGATTTTTTCCAGCTGATGCCCTGGTTCATACCAACCAGAATGGTGTATGAAACTGTTCATAATTGGCTTTTTGTCATATACTGTCACCAAAATCACCTCTCAAGAATATAATGTTGATTGTATTAATCATCCAGTGAAGATCCTCATTTAGTCACCACTGCCCGCCCACAGGATAAAATCCCTCTAGTAGCTGAGAAACCTCAACCTTTGGATTCTCTCCCAATAATGCCTATGACACTCTGGCCTGTCCCTTAGACTAGCAAACTCCCTCTCATTGGGCTTCACACTCTTCCTAATTACACCCAGTTCTTCCTCAGCCACTGCTAAGCATCCTTCCTCTTTTTAGCCAAGCTCATCCAGCAGACATGATCCCAGGGCTCTTAGCACCCACAACAATATTTGAGTTCTTAGCACACCACATCAATCATTTATTTGTTGCTCTCTTTCACTGGTTTTCAACTTTTAGACTTGGGCTTTTCTCTAAATTCCTCAAGGTTCAGATCAAGAATTAATCTTTACATCTCAAGAGTTGGCAAAACTACTCCAGAAAGTTCACTGAGAGAATGCCATTGTTTTTATTCATGCCATCTTTTTGTTAATTAAAAAACTGAGAATAGTATATGTATGTCAAAGCAATGAACCTTACTAAAACAAATCTTAAAAGTAACCTGAAGAATTATTCTGTCAAAGAATTTAATCAGAACTAAAAATCTTAATTACTTACTTGTGCTTCCTGGTAGATCTTAGTCAAATTTGTTTTAAATACTTTTTTTAAAAAAGTAATGGGCTTCAAAGACAGTATTAACATACCACAAAGCAAAGTAACTACAGTCATTACCACCACACTGGCTGGCTAGATGTCAACAGAATGAATCACAATTGCTATACAACTAAAAACTCACAAACAAAACTTCTTTTTAAAAACTCTATGTATTTCATGCTGACATGTAATACATTTGTATGTATATACAGTATGCCTAGTGGTTAAGAATACAGGATATCTGGATACTGTGGCTTCCATCTGTAATCCCAGCTACTCACTCAGAGATCAGGAGAATGGAAATTCAGGGCCAGACCAAGCAAAAAGTGAGACCTCCACCTCAACAAACATGGTGGTATGAATCTGGGATGGTTGTATGAATCTGGGATCCTAGCTATTCTAGGTGTATAGGGAGAAGGATCAAAACTAGAAACCAGCCCCCAAAAAGTGCAAATATCTAAAAAAATAAATAAATAAATAACAGATAGTGAAAACTATCTGGAAAATAGTTAAGGCAAAAAAAGGCCTGGGGAATGACTCAAGTGGCAGAACACCTGCCTAACAAGTGCAAAGCACCGAGTTCAAACCCAGTACCAACAAAAACAAGGAGCACAGGCTGGAATCACAATGACAGTTGTGCAACTTGAGACAAATTACTTAGTCTAATGTGCTTATTTCCTTATCTGCAAAAGCTGCTACATCACAATACTGCTTGGTGAATGAGTTGGCACTTACAAAAGTCATTGCCACAGTGCCTGGCAGGCTAGTGCACAGTATATGTGTCAACTATTATCACTTTTTTTTAAACTTTAAGTCATTTTATATGTACTCTCATTCAGTCTGCCTTACAATAGCACAATGAGATTGTTTGGACAAAAATGTTATTCATCCTGCAGAGATAAAGCACCTTTAGACAGGTCATACAACTACTCTGAGAGGTAGATTTTGAATACAACCAAAGATAATCTCAGTCTCAGGCCAAACTGACCAAAGCTGCACAGATCAATTTGAAAGAAGCCTTTTTAGACGTGGTGGGATTAGATGAATTCTCCCATTTGTTCAAGCTAACGGCAGAAGCTTGGTTTTCAGTGTCTAACACACAGTGGGTACTCCAGAGACAGCAGCTATTGATGCTCTCTCAATTACAATACAAAGTACTCCATCAAAGTCAACCTCCTCAGAGAACAAAAAATTCACTTCATGTATCATGGCTGGGTGACTCAAGTGGTTGAACCCTTCAAACGCATCTCAAATATTGGGAAAAGCATATAGACAGATATTGTCTATCCCAAAGTAAAATGTCACAACTGAAACTCAAAAAGGGAAAGAAAAAAATGACAAAGAATAACTCACTAATTCAAAAATATACAATTTTGCAAAAGGGCTTTTGGAGGCAGGTTTTACAAAAGCAACCCAAGTATATTCCAGGACATGATGTTTCTCTGCCCACATGGGTGATGGTTACCAATGAACAGTACTTCATCTTGGAAACAGCTTCACCAGCACTTATCTTCGATATTTTCCTGGGGTTTAAAATAAACCCCACCCCATCTAATCCACAGCCATTCAGTGCACCTAGATAAAATTAATGGATTTCCACGGCGGATGCAATGCCTCCGGGGCACCCACCTGAACCCAGGAAGAACCAGAAAGCCAAACAACAGATGTCCACGACCGCAGCGAGCACCTTATCTTTCTATTTTCGTCTTTTAAAGGAGCGATTAAGATACTAAGGCGCCCCTTACACACAATCGGACTTGACTTGAGGCCCTGGCAAGGCCCACCTTTCCTTTCGTGACACTGCCCACGCTGGCGCCCTGGACGGCTGGCACGGCTGGGGTGGGGGGGGCTGGCCTGACAGCTCGGTGCGTCCCCTGCACGCACGTGGTGTGGCCGCTCGGGACGGGTTTTGCTTATGGGATTTAACGGGGCCCGGCCGGGGTGGGGTTCCGGGGACCGAGCGGCGCCCAGATCGGCCTCCATCTGGGCAGAAGGGCCCCAGGGCTCCTTCAGGGAACCTGGACCGGGCGACCAACCCCCGTCGTCCCGCGGGCCCCCGGTCCCGGTTCCCCCAGCTCGCGCGGCCCTCCGGCTCCCGACGGCCCCCCGGGCCCCTGCTGGGAGCCGCTCCTCAGCGGGGCGACGCCGCCCACCGCGCCGGGACCCCCACTCCGTCACCGGGGGCCCCGGCTCGAGAGCGGCCGGCCCGGGACTCAGGGGAAACGGCCGCTCCCACTCCACGGACGCCGAGGTCCCCACGCCGCCGCCATTTTCCCAGTGCTGTAACCCCCACCTGAGAGCTCCGGCCTCCCGCCTGTGACAGGCGGGGGCCGCCGTGCGACGCCGCGGGGGGGGGGGACTCGCGAGCCGGCCGGGGACCCCGGGGGTGTCACCACCTCGACGTAGAACCCGCCGCTAATTTATCTCCCGGCGAGGAGGCGTCCGGCCCCGTCGCCCTAGTAATGCGTCCCATCGGGCTCCCTTCTGATTGGCTGCGGGCCCCGTGACGTAACGGCGTCCCGGCTGCGTGGGCTTCGGCGGTGTGGTTAGCCCGGGTCCTGGGGGCTCCGCCCCTGCCGCGCCCCCGTGGTCCGGGTGGACGACCCGGGGTGCAGGTCTTCGAGGGCTCCCTTAAAGGGGCCGCGCCTAGTTTCTAGTCGCGTGTCTTTCAGTACAAAAGCTGGCCCCTATTTGTTAGGAAATGGAAAGACTTGGAAAAAATTATATTAAGTGAAGTAAGCCAGGCCCAAAGAAACATAGGTCCCATGGTTTCCCTTATTTACAATATCTAGTATATGTCTGAGTCAAGCAGAAAAGGTCAGATAAGGTGATGTTAGGGAAATGAACCCTAAGATATGCATTCAAATGTTTTTTTTTTCTTTCATGCGATTGTTTCTAACACATTTTTAAGATTATTTCTTTGTTGCTTTGTATGTCCCTCCCCCATGGTATAACCCTGCTTTCATTGTATTTGAGGTTGGTATAATTTTGGAGGGGAAGGGAAAAAACAAACCGTTTAAATAGGGATACAGGTGGACCCATTGCAACAATGAGATGTCCAAGTCGTTATGTCGAAAACGAACTTTACAACTTTGGTGGGGGGGAGGGTTGGGTGGGGGGGGAGGATGGAATGGGAAGGGGAAACAAAAGAGGAGGCTACAATGCTTGATAAGAAATGTACTCATGGTCTTGCCCATGTAATTGTAAACCCTCTGTACAGTATTTTCACAATTAAAAAAATAACTAATTAATAAAAAAAAAAGCTGGCCCCTCAGAGCCAATGGGTAAGAAGGCAGCAGGGAACCTTATGACTCCTCAAACCCTTAGAGTCCCTCCGTGGAAAACAACAGATCCTAGAGATTCATTTGCAAGTCTTCATTGTCCTGTCAGTGAGCAAAGCCAAGGAGCAAATCAGCAGTCAAGTGAATCCTGGAACCCAAAACTCTTGCTGAAATACCGTTTTCCAGGCCCTAGCTAAACTTTCCCTCCTCTGGGTACCCATCACACTTGCAAAACATCCCTTTTAAAGGTCTTTGTCCCTTCCTCCTGAATGGTAGAGACTGGTGAATCAAATCCGTTTGCATTTCTTCTGTACAATGCTTCCTGCCTGCTAGCTTTCCACAAATATTCAATAAAAAATCTTGAAAATAAAATGGGAGTGAACAAAGGAAGGGGTGACATTGACCAAGAAGCATTGTACTCATAACCTGACATATAGAACTGTAACCCAATTTTACAACTACTTAATAATAATTATTTTTAATCTCAGAGAAAAATAAACCCTTTATGTATGTTTGGATATTTTATTCATTTATTCAACAAAGCCCAGAGAGGAGTGAGTTTAAAACAAAACAAAATAAAAATGCAAAGTTCCTTCCCTTACAGAATTCTTATCTTCTAGGTTTTAGATGCTTTAGCTTCAATGAACTAAGTAAGTCAGGACATGTCCCCCACCCCCAAATCCCTGCAAATCTAGGGTTTCCTAAATCAGCTTCACAACTTCTCTAATTTTGTTCAAAACACTTAAGAAATGTGTTAAAAATGCAAAACAACCAAGGGACACATCAGTGCAAAAACCAGTGCTGCCAATGGCTCTATGATGGTGGGCCTCACATCAACCTTTACAATAAAATAACTGGAATAAAAGATCTGTAAATTCTTGAGAGCGTTGTGCTAGCATGTCTTTAAGAGTTGTCATGGCCATGCTGCAGATCACTAGAATGCTGCTCAGTGATTCTTCTTTTGGACTTGCCAGAGGTTCCCCCTAGGCTTCCCTCTACTGCAGATACCCTCAGTATGCTGAGATGTGGGAAGAGGTAGGCCGATGGACTACTGCCCTGCTGTGATACAAGGTGGTTGTTTGAGCCTGGCCCAGAAGTAGCCACATTCCACAGACCCTGCCAACTGAGTAAGATAGGCTCATTCATTCTCTTCTTCTACCCCTTGCACTCTAGCTCTGTTTCTTAGTGATTCTTTGGTTTGAATGCAGGGCTCCCTCAAATCCTCCGCTACTTGAATCACACCCCCAGCCAGAATCCTTAAACCTGAAGACATTTCCCAAGTATTGTAACTTGTCCTTCCTTTTTGAAGAAAACATATTTTGTATCTAATTGAACCACTTCTTCCACATAAGGCCAATACTTTAATAGCATTATGCAGGATTATTTACTCTGTTTTGATAGAAGTTCTATGTTATCCATGATGCTAATATGAGGGTAAAATGTATACAGAGAAGTCTCTGTACTTTTTTTTCATCTCTCCTAAGTCTAAAAGTGTTTCAAAAAATTTAATAACAATTATTTCAAAAGTTTATCCAGGTAGCAAATTCTTGACTTTCTGTAAGGTTTATCTTCTAGAATGTATGTTTCTCCTCAGGATATCCAAAGTATTTACATTTCTTGCTCATCTGATCTTACTAGCATGATAGTTCAATATGGTAGACCAATGTGATGCCACATGGTGTATTGTGTCAGAAAATAGAAAAATGAGCATAGCCAAGGAGCAAGACAGAAAAAGTAGAATGCTGTCCATCCTACAGGAATATTATCTTCCCTGGATATGATTGGTGGGATGGGGTAGAGGGAAGAAGACACAGGAACTTCTAGTTGACATTTCTGGGAAAAATAGCTCTTACCTTGCAGGTTGAGGGACAGTTTAAGGGTTCAATCAAACTTCTAAGTGTCTTTGTTGCAAACCACATTCAGCAATTCACAAAATAACCACCAGGTTGGTAGCAAGATCCACTAGATCCATTGAGATGGAAATGGATGAAGACTCTGTTATCTGCATCCAATATGCCCCTTCTCTATTCTAATGAAGAGTGAAGAGAAGATAAAAGATTAGGAAAGGGAGAGGGGACAGGATGGTACCTAGGATCCCTGAATAGCTACATCATTTTTTTTTGTCGGTCATGGGGCTTGAACTCGGGGCCTGGGCACTGTCTCTGAGCTCTTTTGCTCAAGGCTAGTGCTCTATCACTTTAAGCTACAGCCGCACTTCCAGAATTTTAGTGGTTAATTGGAGATAAGTCTCACAGGGATTTTTCTGCCTGGGCTGGCTTCAAACTGCAATCCTCAGATCTTAACCTCCTGAGTAGTTAGAATTACAAGCTAGCCACATCATCTTTAATTCTATATTCAGAATCCCTAAAAAATTCAGGCTAGTCCTTTTTCCCTAGTCTATGGTTATACAATAATAAAAAATAGAAAATAGTTATAAATCACTTTGAAGAAGGACTGCAGCATCTATATATACTTGCTATGGTGATCTATGTGAGTTCTATTTCATGGACAACAGTTTTGCCTTCAGTCCATGCATTCTCAGTCTGAGAACAGGCTCAGGTCTTGAAATCAGGGGTTATGATTTTTCAGCGGAATGATGTCTGACCCCAGCCTTCACTAGACACTACACCCATCCCTAATCTGTTCATATTATATATTAAGCAGTATCTTTTCTTATCTGCACATTTATCTTGATCCTGGAATGACTGTCTTCTAACAGACATCTCCATAAGGTCAGGTCAGGCCCCTAGCTGCCACATTGTGACCTTGCTATCCATTCTGGTAATTAGGTTTCCATGGCTTCCTGCTATTCCAGAAGCCTGTCGTCTCCACTACCACTAGGATTTCATGTTTTCTAATGGAGCCTTCCACTATCAGCCATGGGTTGTGAAAAGCAAACACCACTGGGCTTCTCAATGATACAGGTGCTCCTAAGTAGAGCCTTTATCATCACTTTGATGAACGGGGCCCTTTAGGCCCTCCAGAACAACACAGATGGAAAGTTTTCTAATTTTATGTAGTTAATGCATCAGTCTGCTTGCTTTTCTAATTTTTTTTATTTCTTCATCTATATTCTGTCATGAATGGTCTCACATCTCTACTTTATCTAATGTGGCTATTTACTGCTTCTAGCTTCTGAGAGCAATCTCAAGAACATTCTAGAATTAACTCTTGAAGCTCTTGCTATGTTAGACAATGGGCTTCTGGAGCATGCCTCTGACTGGATAAGTTCCCCTAAACTCACTTTATATTTAGACTGTTCCTAATCCATCACTCTTGGGATCCACAGAGGCTTAACCTGCATGCTATAAGCAAGGTTCTTCAGTTATTCTAGTATATAATCCCTTTTCTCTCTTTATAGTCTTACAACAGGATGAGATTTGATCCATAAGAGGTCTCTTTGTAGAATGTAAGTAAGGGTGAATCTCTGTCTTCCCACAAGTCAGAGAGGCTAGCTCCAATCTAGGGGTTTAAGGTTCTCCAGATGACCTCTGCTCAAGTCTTAAGGTTTGGTTCATTCTCTATGAAGACGCTGACTTTCACATTGGAGATCTTCCCACGTGAGAATCCAGCCTTCTCTGAAGTTCTTCTCTGTATATATCTAAAGCTCTGTCTAATTTTCAGCCTGGACTGCAGACCATGAGAATCTTTCTAAATGCTTCTGAAGATACTTTCTACCTCTCACATGTTGCTTGGAAGCAATAGGTCCTTATTTCCATAATCCTTACAGTGAGTCATTTCTCAAAACCTCTCAGTGACCAGCTTGGGCAGCTTTCCACGTGAATTCTTCTCTGGTTCCATAAAAGCCATTTGCTTGTGCCCCTGTATCCAAGATCAAACAGTAGTCTGGTAAATAGCAGTGGGCTAAGTCCTCATTGCCATCCAGGAATCCAACTGCAGAATATCATCTCAGCTTCCTATGTCACCTCCAGTAAGGGGTTTCCTAGAAACAGAGACCCAAGCAAGAATATCCATGCAATGAAGGCTGAGGATTGTTTGTTTGTTAATTAGTTTTAAGTACTCTCAACAGAAGATGATGAAAGAAACAGGAAGAGAGAGAAACAAAAATGTGTTTACTGGTAGATTTATAGGCACATTGTAGCTACCACAAATGAGGGAAACCATACAATCTATGTTTCTCTGGTCTGGCTTACTTCA